CGGGGCCCCTTCTCCTCAGCGGAAGCGGGCGCGAGTGGGCGCGAGGGGAAGGGAGGTGTACAGGGACATGGCGATGGGCATCTCCTTTTCGGACTCTCCAGGGCGCAGCGCAGTGGAGCGAGCGTGCGAACAGAGCATCGGAGGGAGCGCGATGCACCGTCGCTGGCCTGACGAGGCTCTCGACAACAGGGGGTCGGTCACCAGGGGATCGCCCCCCCCGCCCATGAATAATCCGTCACCAGGGGATCGCTCTCCCCCTGGGAGTGTCAGAAACCAATGGGCCCCCCCTCATCTTAACCCCCTCCCCCAAAGTCCCCCTCCCCGCCCGGGAAGAACCTAAGGGATCCGGATACCCCCCCGAACAAGTAATATTATTCGGGGGGTCCAGAGAAGCCCCCCCCAACATCCCTGGGCAATGACGACGACGACGACGACGACGACGACGACGACGACGACGACGACGACGACGACGTCAGCGACGGCGGCGGCGCACCTCTCGCGAGCGCCCGGGCCAGGCGCCGGCTCTGACAGAAAGCTGCCCGTGATCGATCCAGCCTGCTCACTGTCCTACGAAGGGCCCGGCTGTACTCCGCCCCGTGTCACTCAACCCTACTCTACACTACTCTACTCTGCTCTGCCGTACCCTACTCTACCCTACTCTATCTACCCCCACCGTGCCCTAACATGCTCTACTCTACTCGGTTCTGCACGACTCTACTCTACTATGCTCTATTAAAGTGTACTCTACTCTCCTCTACTCTGCTCTGCTCTGCTCTACTCCTCTCCTACTCTACTCCTACTCTGGAAGAATGCTACTAGGGCTCGATCCAGCCCTCTCAGCACTCTCCTCTACTCTACTCTGCCCTACTCTACTCTACACTACTCTGCTATGCCCTACAGTACTCTAACACACTCTCCTCTACTCTACTTTGCTCCTTCTCTGCTCTACTCTACTCTACTCGACTCTACTGTACTCCACTCAACTCTACTCTATTATATTATACTCGATCTACAATGCTCTAGTATACTCTACTCTACTCTACTCCACTCAACTCTACTCGACTCTGATATACATCTCCCTGCTCAACTCTACTGTACCCTACCCTACTCTACAACACATCACCGTATCCCACCATACTCTACCGCACTCTACTCTATCCTCCACTCTGTTCTTATGATGCTACACTCGGCGCCCGCTCTGCTCTGCTCGTCGTCATGGTCGTCTCCGTCATTGTCGCAGCCGCCGTCGGCGGCGGCGGCGGCGGCGGCCTCGGCGTCCTCCTCGTCGTGGCCGTCGTGCGTCGTGCGTCGTCGAGGTCGCTGCCGAGGGGGGTGGGAGAGGGGGGCCCTGAACCTCCCGGATCTTTTTCCCGCATGGGGGGGGCGGTTCTGGACCCCCCAGGTCGTTTCCCGAAGGGGGGGGGGCGGCCCGCCGCCCGGCCCCCCCCCCCACCCCGCCCTGCCGGCAGCGGCAGGAAGCGTTTTTTCTCGAATAGAGAGCGACCCACGAGGCGGGCGCGAAACAGCAGGAGGCTGGAGGAGGGGGCAGGACGAGGGCTGGCATGAAAAAGACGGGCGTCCTGGTGGAAACGTGCCCTTGGTCCCACGACTTTCCCATGAACTGGCATTGAATCTCCACTCGCTTTCAGATAAGCGGGGAACGACCTCCAATAATCGTTTCACCCCATGCAAGACCCTTTTCCTCCACGCCCCAAAACGGAACGAAACGGATAGGGATGACACCTGACATCGAATGCTGTCAAACACCTAAAAAGGCGGCTGTTGGGCAACCGACTTTCGTCACGATCAGACGACGCCCGCGACGGGACCAGCATGAAGGTCAACGTTCGGGGGAGACTGGCTCAATGTGGGGAACGTCGAACTGGAATCGACGATACATCGCCGATCAATCGGCGATGGGCCCCCGTTTGCGAACCCACACGCTCATGGGCGGGGTGGGGCAATCGGGCCCCTAGCGGCGATGAGTGGGCGATCCGAGGTTCACGCATTCCCCCCCTATGAGCCTTCCCCCCCCGACCCTTGCCGCGGATCTCCCAATGAGCAACAAAAGCGAACGTAAATCTTTGGTCCCCGCTCTTTCCGTTCCCACAGTTTCCGTCCCCCCGCCCTTTCCGCCCCCGGGAGCTTGGATTTTGCTTGACGCGTGGGCTCCCCGACCTCTCGACCGCTTCCCCGAGGCCGGTGTTTCGACCCGACCACCTCCCTCACGACCCCGAAACCTGGAACTGGCCTCCAGGGGCCAAGACTTGCGGCTGCCCGGCCGCCGCGATTTTCACCGAGGCGCCGGATGGCTGCACACGGGGAAGGGGGGGGCCCAAGTTGCCGACGAGGGGGGGGGACATGCTCCAGGGTGGAAACGTCGAATCAGGATCGGCAGTGCTGCATCCGCCGGAAATTGGCGAGTAGGCCCCCGATGGCAAGCCCGCACGCCCTTGGGCGGGGCGGAATATCGGACCCGTGCCCGCAATGAATGGGCGACAGCAGGTCTATGGCTCCCCCCATGAGCCCGTTCTCCCCTAGCAGTGCCCTTCGGTGTCTGGGCCCATCCTCGGCGCTCCGGCAGCCATCCAGGACGACTTGGGCCCCCCCCCCAATGCTCCTGGCGAGGTACAGCTGCTGGATCCTGGGGATGGAAAACCGACGGGGCCGACGAAAACGCCTGAACGCTTCGAACCTCGAAACTTCGCACCCCCCCCAAACCAAGCTTCGCCCGCCTCTCACGTTGCCCCAATGCTGCGAGTGGTCCCCCCCCGTGAGGAAGAGGGGGAAAAGGAGCTACAAATAGCGGGGGCTGGATGCCAGAAGACAGAAATCATGAGAGCTGCCGAACCTTTTTTGAGACAGTGAGATGAGATCGCGGTGGCGCTTCCAACCATGGCGACCAGACGTCCTATTCAAGTCCGGATTGCGGTGATCGAACAGCTCTGGCGGAGCAAGGAATCGAGAAAGAGAAAAGCCAACACTGTCCAACCCCCGCGCACCTTCACAATGCGGACAGGATACCAAGCTGCCACCTAGGACGAACGCGTGGGCGCCGCGGAATGCGTACTCATCGGCTGTACTCAGCGGGCACGCTCGTGCTGCCACACAACAGCTCGCCTGAGTTGGTGTGAAGCATGCTGCCGCGCGTCGTGTCTGTGCAACTGGGGGGCGTACGTTGCGGCCGGAATGACCGAAACACGATCGAAACTCGACGTGTGGATGACGTGCGGCTCGTAAAAACTTGTGGGACAAGAGTGCGGCGAGACCGTGGGCTGGTAGGTTGGAACGGGGGAAACAGGATGGAGGTGCTTTCTTTGATGGGGGCGCGACGTACGTTGTTTTGCGCCTCGCCTCGCCGCTCAGCTCAGTCCATAGCATCCCCGCCGTCGTCGCCGTGGGCGAGCAGGAGCTTGGCATGATTTGTTATCACGTGGCCTGGGCGGCTCGACCTGGAGGCGGTGCTGTCCGCGGCGCCGGGAGTCCTCCGAGGCGTTCTCTGCGGGCTCGATATCCCACTCGCTGGCGGCGTCGCACTTGTCGTCGCTCTTGTCGCTGGCGTCGGCAACGTAAGCGGTCCTGTCCGACTTCGCCCAGGAAGCTGCCGCTTCACGTCCCGCGACCTCTTGGACTGGAGGCCACCGCGGCGTTTCTTCTTGGGTTTCTGCGAGACCGCGGGCTCGCCTGTGGAGGCCTCCGCCAACGCCGTCATATTCGGCTCGTCCTTGCTGCTGCGTGCTGAACGCCGACCGCCAAGTGCGCGGTCGTCAAGTAGAGTGCGCATCGGGGCTCAATCGTGCTGCCAAGCTGATGGGAATGCGTGGGTGGGGTGAAATGTCGTGTGCCAAAGGACAGAACTATGGTTTTCCAAGTTCGCTTCGGTGTCCTTGCAGTGCTGGTGACACAATTGCCAGACCCTTCATCATCCCCGCTCTTCTGTTTTCCTCTCCCTAGGCTTTCGTGACACAGTCACAATAAGCTCGGGGCCCTTGATTGACGCCGTAGATGTGAAAGTTGTGCCGAGCAGCTGTCCGACATATGCGGCAACAGCCACAGGCGGATGCATTGACAAAGTAGGGTCTGCGAGCTGCGTTTACAGCCAACGCAAGCCCGGAATGGATCGCTGAAAGTTCCGGCGCGCGGCCAGGGTCCTTGTAGATTTCTGTCGCGTACTTGTGGTGCACTGGTTTGGCACGTTCCCGGTCACTGGTCCTGGGGACGGAGGGGCGGCTGCCCCGAAGCTGAACGGGACGAGGTGCACGAAGGCGATGAAGGCGGGTGATGAACAACATGACCAGCGGGATGAGCCACTGAGTATCTGAAAGCGGCCATGAAAAAGGCGGAGAGGTAAAACATGTGTTATCGAAGCGATGCGAAAACGAAAAGCCACTGCAGCCGTGGTATTGGAGCCGAAGCTCCGCTACCTGCTTGAAGAATGAATGTGAGAGGATAGAGATGAAAGAACTAGACTGCCACTAACAACTGTATGACATGCAAGAGCGCATCTAACTCGGGCACGCTGGGACGCATCCCTGAAATGGAAGCGGCAAGGAAAAGCAGCGAAGGGGTGACGTGGGCAGAACATTTGGACGCCCGAAATGGGTACGGAAAAAATGGGTACAATGACCAACAACAAATGTTGTCCAAAACCATCAGCGGCCGCTGTTGGGCAGGCGGCCTTCTGTCTCGAATGGACACAGGCCGCGGCGGCGTGGACAGCGAATCCGGTTCAAAATGAACAGGAACTGCTGTTAGGCATTGTACCCATTCTTTCCGTGCCCATTTCGGGCGTCCAGAGAACAGGCACCCTTCGAGTAGGAAAAGGAGGGGGACCGAGAGGACGAGGAGGAGGAGGAGGAGGAGGAGGAGGAGCACAGCGTTCAAAGAGGAGGAGGAGGAGGAGAAGGCGGCGGCGGCGGCGCCACAGGAAGAAGAAACGGCCTGCTCCTTGTCCTGTTCCTGCTCCTTACCCCGCCCGGCCGGCAAGGGGGCTGGCGCGCCCGCTCCCAATCGAGTGCACGGGGCCCAGAAATCACCTGGCCGCGACAGCCCGCCAGTCCTCCGCTCTCCCTCGCCTCCTCCTCCTCCTCCTCCTCCTCCGCCTCCTCCTCCTCCTCCTCCTCCTCCTCCTCACATCATCATCATCATCATCATCATCATCATCATCATCATCATCATCATCATCATCATCATCATCAGCAGCAGCAGCAGCAACTTCATCATCATCACCATCATCACTATCATCGTCATCGGCATCCTGATCATTTATCATCAACATCACCATCCTCATCTTCATCCTCATGTTCCTCCTTATATTCTTGTTAGCTTTCTCATTATCATCGTCATCATCATGTTCCTTCTCCTCAACATCATCCTCATATTCGCCTTCATCGTCTTGATCCTCATCACACTCGCCGTCATCTTCATCATCGTCGTCATGCTCATCATCAACATCAACATCAATATCAACATGAACGCTCATCATCACCATCATCAACACCATCATCCATGTTACCGCCAACATATATATATATATATATAAATGGATATTCGGGGCAACGACAAATATGACCCATGCGCAGGGAAGAGAGGGAAGGACGGAAGGACGGCACGACCGACAGGCGACGCCAACACACGGGACACCCCCGACCCCCGAGGCCCAAACCACAACGAGCCAGGTCCAGCCACGGCTACGAGGACCCACCAGCCAACGACGACGACCCACTGGCATGCTCCTTCGCCTCCTCCATCTCCACTGCCCCCTCCTCCTCCGCCGCCTTCTCCTCCTCCTCCTCCTCCACCGCCACCTCGCCTCCTCCTCCTCCTCCTCCTCCTCCTCCCCCTCAACCGCCGCCCCCCCCCTCCTCCTCCTCCTCCTCCTCCTCCTCCTCCTCCTCCTCCTCCTCCTCCTCCTCCTCCTCCTCCCCGTGCCAATGGTGCGGACGGTCCCAGGCTGAGTATTCAGGGAGGACGCACGGGGCGGCCGGTGAGGAGACAGAAAGTTTCCGACGAGTGCCTCCCTTGAGCTCCGTGGGGTTTCGCCACCGTGGCGACACAGGCCAGTAGGTAGCTGGGCTTCCCCAGGCCCGTAGCAAGTGCTCCCCTCTCCATGCACGGATCGTGTGGCATGTTCCTCCCGCCGTTCCTTCAACGCGCTGTCCCTTACCCAGGCAGCCCCCGTTTCCCCCCTTTCCCTCCCACTTCTCTCGCCCGCCCCTCTGTCCCGCCCGCTCCACCTCCCCCCTGTCTCATCTTATACGGTAAGCGTTGCTTCCATTGCGGTCCCCGAGTGGAAGGGCAAGCCGCTTGGAGTAGGTAGCCACCAAGCTGGTCAGCCTCTGGTCGTACCACTTGTTCATCCTATTGTCCATCCTTTCTGGGCCGCGAGGTCCTTGCTGGGCTGTGGGCTCAGGCTTTGTCTCGCATGCCCCTCTTGCCGCGTTTGTATGGGCTAGCGCCGCACTGGAACTCTGCCAGGACTGTGGGCTACGGCTATGCCTCGCATGCCCATCTCACCTGCGGTCCGTTGTTTCGGCTGGCCCCACTCAAACAACACGGTTGGAATTCTGGTAGCCCGCCGCACGTAGGCAGGCAAGATCTCGGGTATTCTGCTAGGGCTTTGGGCGCTGAGTCTGTATAAGCTAGCGCCGTCCCCATTGGATCTCTGCCAGGACTGTGGGCTACGGCTATGCTTCGCATAACCATCTAGCCTGCGGTCCGTTGTTTCGGCTGGCCCGACTCAACCAACACGGCTGGAGTTCTGGTAGCAAGCCGCACGTTGGTTGGCATGCGTTGTGGTACCACGCCGCACGTCGGTAGGCAAACTTTCGGGTATTCTGCTAGGGCTTCGCGCCATCCGCAATGGAACTCTACCAGGACTGTGGGCTACGGCTATGCTTCGCATACCCATGCAACCTGTGGTCCGTTGTTTCGGCTGGCCCGACTCAACAACCACAGCTGGAGTTCTGGCAGCACGCCGCACGTAGTTAGGCAAAATTTCGGGTATTCTGCTAGGGCTTCGCGCCATCCGCACTTGAACTCTGCCAAGACTGCGGGACTTTCGGCATTCCCAACCCGGCCTGCCTGGCACTAGAGGGGGCCCATTTAAGCTGGGTCTAAGTGCTAATGCGTCTGCTGCCGCCGCTGCAGCTTAGGTGGCTCAAGCTTTCCAGTGTTGCTCCGGTTACACCGCATTCCTTCGCCGACGCTAGATGTCGGCCTACGGCGGCCCATACCCGTCCGAGGCTCCGATGGCGCCGCACCACCTGAGGCCGTCCCAGCCAAGTGGTTACATGTGGTTTAGCACCGCGCAGCTCCCTTGGGGCATCTCGGGAGCCCTCCCACCCCGTCCGAGCCCCCTCTTGGAGCTTCCACCTTCGTATCCTCCCCCCCCCTTCCCCCTCAACCCACCTCCTGTCCCCTCCAAACCCGATCACCCGCTCCGCCGCATTACCCCGTCCTCCTCCCCCCTGGGCAACACTTCACCCTTGCTCGTCGGTGCCCCCCCAACCTTGGGGGAGGGCAGGGTCGCTCAGCCACCAGATGGTGGCTGCTGCGACCGCTGCGCGCAGATTGCAGCCCTCTAGGAAACCGTTTTGGGGGTTGCTAGCGCGGGCTGGCCCCCATCTAGCAACCCCCCAAACAGGCTGCGAGTTTGGGGCTCTCCAAGCAAAGGGTGTCTTCCATTAGAATTTCCTCGGTCTTTCTTGTTCCACCGAGTAACTGTTAATGGCGGCCCGCTCGCAGACCTGGAAGTAAGGTCGGTGATCCTCCTCCTCCTCCTCCTCCTCCTCCTCCTCCTCCTCCTCCTCCACAGCCTCCTCGTCCGCCGTCTCCTCCTCCCCCGCCTACACGTTCTCCTCCGCCTCGTTCTCCTCCTCCGATGACTCCACCGCCACTCCACCTCCTCCTCTGCCTACGAGGCCCCCCGGCGTTCGAATCGCAGAAAACAGTCGAAGCTGCTCTGACGTCGTGCGCTGGTCCTCCTCCCTGGCTTCGCTTCGATTCGCACTCCCTCTCATGCCACGTCCGATCCACAACTGCACACTGGCGCACTCGGGGGGCGAGGCTGGCCCGCAGGCGCCTGCGCTCTGTGCGAGCCCCCTCCGTTCCATGCTGCTTGCCTGTCCCCTGGTGTGCGCGGGCCAGCCTGCCTCGACATGTGCAGTGGAGAACCCCGCCTGCCATCGCGCGCTGCCCTCCCGGTGTTCTCTCCTCCTCCTCCTCCTCCTCCTCCTCCTCCTCCTCCTCCTCCTCCTCCTCCCTTTTCCTCCTCCTCCTCCTCCTCCTCGTCCTCCTCCTCGTCCTTACTTCACTGGTGTGGCGACGCCAGGTGCCACGCGAACCTCAAACGGCGCCCCGCCGCGGCCACCGCGCCGTGGGGGGCCGCGGGCGCGCGCGCGCCTCACATCTCCGAAGCGGGCGGGAGGCCCCGCAGCCACGACCCCCCAAAAGCGGGATACCCATCAGGATGTTCCAACCTGATTTGGCCTCGATCGCAAAAAAAAAAAATCTCGAGCACCAGGGAAGTACCGAAACTTTTCACGTGCCGGCCCCTGGAAGGCGATACTAGTTCGACGCTGTTTCGATACTGTCCTGGGTGCTCGAAGCTACTTCTGGGATGTGGTCCTCAAGTACGACGGGAGCAACAGGGGAGGCCGAAGGAGACCCACGGGAGACCCGCAAGACGACGACGGCAGTGACAGCGACCGCGACGGCATGACGGGGGAAAGCGAATCGCCTGGCACGTCCCCCAATCACGGGGGGCCCACCGGGAGGAAGCCACAGGCCCACACGAGGGATTCTTCCTCGCCCTCCCTCTTTGTTCCCCGCCTCCTCCCTTTCCTCATCCCTCTCCGTCTCCTCTTTGTCCATCTTCTCCCCTCCTCCTCCTCCTCCCCTCTCGTCCTGCTCATTCTCTGGTTCCTTTTCTTCGTGTCTGTTGGTCCGTTTGCTGCTGATGATACTGTTTATGTTCCTCCTGCGGTGTGGATTTGATGGGCTCTATGGGTGCTGTGTGTTTGTGGGTGTTGGGGTCATTGTAGGGGAGCTCCCTGTGTTGTTTTGAGAGGCTCTCGATGCTGTGCTGGGATTGATTCAGGGGTTTGGTCGGGTTTCCCGGTGCTCTCCAGGGTCCCCCGGATGCTCTGTTGAGAGGGTGGCGAAGGGCGCGGGAGGAAGATGAGGAGGGCGAGAAGGAACGTAAGGCGAACCGAAGAGATGGAAGAACCTGCCGATCTGTGAGCCCGCCGCAACAAAAGGGGGCCCTGGGGGAACAAAGAAATCGCAACCACCAGGTTGGCGATTCCCCCCGCATGCCCCGGCCCCACCCCCACCATTCGAAACAATAGCGCCCGAGGTTTTTGCAATCCTTCGGCCCCCGGCTGCCGCTTCCGAGCCCTGTTCGGGCGTGGCTTGATAAGGGGGTCATAATTGGGGGGTCAGAAGCGGTCCCCTTTCGTGCCCCTTTCGGCCCCCCGGAACCCCAGGGGGCTCGTTTATATATCGTTTGGGTCTTTTTTCGGACCACCCTCGCCCCCCCCATTTATCACCACCCAATTACGCAACGCCCAACGTGCAGTGTGTGCGTGGACCGCCCCGTCTGGGGAGCTGGCCTGGGACTGAAAGGCCCCATATGAAAATCCTGTCGACTAATCTGGAGATAACCTCCACTGCCGTCCTGGCGATTAGTGGCGCCTTTATTGTCTTCTCTGCGTCATTATCATTCTCGCCCTGGCGCAGGGCCCTCACCCGCTCCCCTCGTTGCCCTTGCCTCGCCCTCCTGCTGTTTGTTTCGTCACCCACCACCTCCTCTCCTGTCTCTTGCAAGAGCGCGCGCGTCGATTGTCCTCGACGCCGTCGCCGCCCCGGCCAACGCGGGCGCATTCTCGAATGGCCGCGTCGCGCGGCCGTTGGGACAACCCCGCGGGCCAGGCCGTTGGGGCAACCGCGCGAGCCGCTGGGGTGCGGGAGCAAGCCGTTGGGGCAACCGCGCAAGCCCCGAGCTAGCCACGGCCGCGCTTGGGCGGTTACCACCCCCGGCCCAGGCGAAAGGGTTCCTCCCTGCGTCCGGCCGCCGTCGTCGTCCTCGCCTCCTGTTCCTCCTCTTCCTCACCTGATGGGTCGGGCGAATCGCCCTCTGAAGAGCGCATAGGGAGGGGGCTCCCGCCTGAGACTTCCTCACAGCTCACTCACAGACGAGGCTCCCCGCCTGATGCTTCCTCCTTATTCAGGCCTGAGGAGCCCCAAACTGACGACAGTTACATGGATGAGGATGACCCGCTCGGATTACCAACATGAAGTGCGGGCCCCATAGGGAGGGGGCTCCCGCCTGAGCTTTCCTCACACTTCATTCACAGACGAGGCTCCCCGCCTGATACTTTCTCCAAATTCAGGCTTGACGAGCCCAAAAATGACGACAGGTACAGGGATAAGGATGACCCGCTCGGATTACCAACATGAAGTGCGGGCCCCATAGGGAGGGGGCTCCCGCCTGAGCTTTCCTCACAATTCATTCACAGACGAGGCTCATGATGGTGATGATTGATGATGCTGAGGATGATGCGGTGGTGTGTTCCTGCGCGGGGTGTCCAGAGAAAACGATGCTGAGTGATGAGAGAGAGTGTGTGTGTGATGTGCGACCGAGTCTGATGATGGCGGTGGTGGTCACGCTGCTGCTGCTGATGATGATGATGATGATCATGATGATGATGATGATGATGATGATGATGATGCTGCTGCTGCTGCTGCTGCTGATGATGATGATGATGATGATCGACCGATGGCCGATGGTGACCGATGGTGAGCGACCGAGTCTGATGATGATGGTGGTGGTGATGGCGATGGCCGATGGTGATGATGACCGATGACGGGGTGAATGCGTGAGTAGGGGGCCACATGCGAACCCTACCCCTACCCCCCCCCCCGATTTCTGAGGGGGAGGGTGGGGCTCACTTCGCTCGGGAGCTCCCGAACGAAGAAGTGAGCCCCACCCTCCCCCCCAGAAAGCGTCGGGGTAGGGGCAGGGTTCGCACGTGGCCCCCCTTTCGTGAGCGAGGCGGAGGAGCGGGAGAGAGGTGAGGCTCCTGCGCGGAAGGCTATCCACGAGAGAGCAGAAGAGCCCCACCTCGGACGTGGTGGCACAAAACAAAAAACGGCCGCGCCTCCCGAGGCGTGGAGGGCCTGCCTCCGACGGCGGCTCCCTCGGGCAGCGGCAGGCCGACGGAGGCGTGGGGGTGGGCAGCCGCCCTCTCTCTTTTTTTTCCCCCCCGACCCTCCCATGGTTGGGTACTCCAGATCTCGTAATAAAGGGAGGGGGGTCTCATTTCGGGGGGGGGGGCTCTTCCAGGCTATCTTGGAGGGCCTGGGGGGGTCTGGGGACCATGTTTCGGAGGGTTCTCCCACGGGGGGGGGTCTGGAATGGCTTGTCTTGGAGGGTCCAGACCCCCTCCCTTTTATTACGAAATCTGGAATACTCGTTTTGAACAGCGCAGTGTGGTCGCCCCGTCCTCCTCCTCCTCCTCCTCCCCCCTCCTCCCCTCCTCCCCTCCTGTTGCCTGCGTTCCCCTCTCCTCTTCTCTCGTGCCGTCGGGCTGCGATCCGCGCAACTTCTTTGTTCCTTCGTGGCGACGGCGATCTCGCACCGCGCCGGGTACGGTCGGGGCGGATCGGCGAAGGCACGCGCGAGGGGGCACGACACAGAGACCCCTCAAGAGGGGCACGCCGCCCCGGGAGCGCGGGAAGGCACGGGCCGCGAGGCTCGGGACACGAGGGGCATCGCCTGACCGCTCCCGCCCGCCTCCAGAGGACGGAACAGGTGAAGCCACTCGATCATTGAAGTAGAAAGGCGCTTAAATTAGAGATTGGACTCTGGGAATCCAGAAATGCCTACTTTCAACGATCGAAGGGTCTGGACAAACATCCAGACGTCGCATGTCTGGCATGGCATGAGGGAGACCCAGACTCGGCTACACGCAACAACGATCCTGGGCAAGAGTGGCCTGGGCCCCACCGGCCGATTCACCCCCCCAGATGGGGATGTAGGTGTAGGCCGTTCCCTTCGGGTTTCGAGGGGTGTATCCCCACCTGGGGGGGAGGGGGGGGCAATTTGGTGGGGGTCTCGAAGGGGATGGGGATGGGGATGGGGATGGGTTAGACGATACCGACACAGGGGTACCCTTGATCTGGCAGGGTCGACCTACTGGTCAGTCTCGACTGCAACCTCGAACTGACACCGCGGCGGGCGGCACGGGAGACGCCGCGCTTCGACCTGCAGCTCGGCCCAGCGCAGGCCCGCCCGCTGTTCGTTCCGAGCAGCTGGCACGGAGCTCGAGGCTGCCCGACGTCGAATTCAGAGCTCAGTCGAATCACTTTCGGTGCGGACTCACAGCGTGTTCTTCTGTTCTTGCGCGCGGAGTCACGAGGGCATCCAGCTGATCCACCAAGCGTCTGACAACGCGGTGACTTGCGCTGTAGCTTACGGGTCCTGTCGCATAGCCACG